ACTATGCAGGCACTTTCTGGAAAAAAAATGGCATTAAAGAAATATTTTTCATACAAAAAGTCCTGGATTTCGTCCATATTTTCACGTTTTGCTTTTGCCTCCCGTCAGAACCAGCGGCCTGCGATTGTCCCCCTGAATATCAGCGTTTCAGAGGCGGTGCCTGAACGCTCCTGCCAGCGCGAACGACGGTGACGCACGTCGATGGGCGATTCCGCTCTTATTAGAACATTACCGAGTGTACTTACACAAAGCTGGATGCTATAGCGTACTGCACACCTAGGATAAATGGTGCAGCCGAAAAAAATGATAAAAACGTAGAGTGCAGTAAATACATAAACCAGTTTATTACCATTATTAAATATTGCATACTGTACATAGCTGTATGTGCCAGGCACAGACTGTCCCCCCAGTTGGTGGCAAATATACCAAAAGGGAAAATTTCCAGGCTGCTGTCTGCTGCCAGGCCTCCCCTGGTATGGCTGCACTTTTATACATCTGTCAGCACATTAGGTTTGTTTACACCAGCATCACCACAAACACACGAGGAATGCATCGCGATATGACGTCACGACGGCTACAACGTCGTTAGGCAATGGGAGTTTTACAGCTCCGTTTATAGTCTTATGGGACCACCATCGTGCATGAGGCCCGTCGTCAACCGAAACGTTACGCGGCAAAGGACTGCAAATCTATAACTGGCTAGCTGATAAACAAACATTAAACGCTCTTTTCACTTTTTTTCCGCTCTCTCCTTTTTTCGAAAAAGTGAAAATCCTCTTTGGATTTCAGGTGCTAATGTGGGGGTGAATCTCGATACTAGGAACACAAAGACTGTACTCGTGGTCTTGGCAAGACCGGTCTTACTACCTTGACTTCCAAGAATGATCTTGCATGACCATGAGGACAGAGAATGCACTAATTGTGCAGATGTGTACTTGTGCACTGGCTGCTCCACTATGCTGGACGCCCAGCTGTGATTTTTATCGTAGTATTTCATAAATGACACATAATCGAAATGTCTAGTCTAAATGACTATTCCTGGTATGATTACTTGTGCTTTTTTCACAAATAAAGTTTACACTTAAAATATTCATATTTATTTAAACTCTGTGCAAACGCTATACGCAGGTGTTAACCATTCCAGTTCAGCAATCTCACGAGCCAAAAAGTGAAAAACAGTGGGAAAATGCTGACAATAATGACGGAATTGTTACTCCGATTAAGGTAATACATTATGGTCTGTGTCTTCTTGCTCCGCCATCGCAATCCATTCTATCCATTCTTTTCCTGACTGCCTGGATTAGACAACGGTGTTCAGTGTTCTTCCTATTTAACGTGACCTTTTTTGAGCACTAGCAAATGTTAGACGTCTGATTGGTCGCTTTGACTGGAGGATGGAAGGCAGGGTTAATGTTTGGACTCCAGATCTCCAAGTATGCAACTGTTGCCTGTTCCATTGTCTTAAAGTGGTGATTGTTACCATTAACATGCGCTTTACACGTCTCTGCCCAGTGTAAGCAGGACAAATTAGTTTCTGATCTGTTATTTTGATACAGCTTCTATAACTGCTACGACTACACAGAATGCCACGAGATACAAAAGATACAAAAGTATAGGTTGCATAATTCAGTGAAAAAAAATGAGCATACACCACAGTAATCATCTGGGGACGATGAGGACCCCCTTCCTCTTCCCTTAGCGCCCTTCATTACACTAGGGGACCCCGACTGCTCCACTGGAATGAGTCAGTGTGTGGTGAGTATGTTCAATGGCACGGCTCTGACCAAGCGGATGAGGACAGGGCACAGCGGTACCACCCCGACCCCCAGTCAGCCAAGCACAAACTGTATCGCCACACACAATGTGAGATCCCCCGCTACCGTATTATTCCTAATACAAGAGCAGAACAGAATAATCATGCCATTGCTACTCAGCCCACAAAAGATGAAGATCTTCCTTTGGAGATCTTCTGACCACACTTTCAGTGCCGTTTGCAGCCTTTCTGAATGACGATACAGCCCTCCATCACATCTGTGGCGAGTAAATCCATGGTAATCCCAAATCAGCAGGCTTTGGCACTAGCATGGCGGTTCAGCTGACAAGCCATATCATCCACACGGCCCTTTTATGGCTGGTTTCCACGGCCCTGAGCACGTCTTAATTAAAAGGGCGCAGGCCCAGATGGGGGGGGGGGGGGGGCCGGAGCGATTGCCATCTATTCATTTTTTAAGACGGGAAAGGGAGATAAAGAGAAGATGATCCCTGCCCATCAGAGGTACCAGTCACTGGTACCCCTGGTACCAAACGGGTACAGCAGCGAAATGGCAAGCTGACGATGCCTACTGAGGAAAAGCTGAGCACCCCGGAAATCCTGGGTTCCTGTGAAAGTGGGAAGGGGGATGCACAGGTGGAGGAGGAGAGGCTGCGTAAATGGCAGGTAGAATGGCGTTTTTACCCATAACCCCCAGGATATGGACGGTCATGCAATTGTAGGAGCAGCAGCCAATCCCCATCCGAAGAGGCTTGAAAGGGCTTCCGGCGCAACAGAACAATTGTTTAACAATCAGACCCATCGTATGGTGCCCACTCTCCTGGACTCAAATAAACGCACGTTAAGCCTCATTGCATTAGATCCAGCAGCACCATGTGTCCAGCGGACAAGGTCTGTGTGCTCCGTGTGGTTTTAGCTACCCTTTGGAAAATTATGTCATTATGCAGTGTATTGATAACAAACAAAAAAAAAACAGGGAATGCAGTTCTAAAGAGATCCACATGAAACAGATCCGATACAGGCCTCCACGAGATCAAGCAGCACTGGGGAGCGTTCCTGAGAGAAAACACGTCTGTTTACGTGAAATCGAAAATGTAAAAATGGGAAAGATGACAGAACTGTGGGGGGAGAAAAAAAATCAATCAAGGGGATATTTTCTTCTCTTCTGCGACAGATTTTCCTTCAGCGTGTAGATGTAAGAACCAGCCGAGGTTTTTAATGTCACATGCGTGCAGCGCCGACTGCCATTTCACTGGGATCACCCATTTTTCTCCATCCCTTTTACACGCTGAAATGACTTTACCAGTGCTCCGTCAGCCAGTGTGAATCCCCAAAAAATAAGGACAAAAAATAAAAACAACAATAAAAATTCATTCACCAAATTTGCCAGTGTTCCACTTACGGGGACAATGTCCCACTGTAGGCATCTTTAAACCATTCAGATGCAGGAGAGGAGGGAAAATGGTGTCCATGTGCTCAGTTACAGCTGAAACTGAATTCACCAAGAAGTGAATGGTTTGGAGACGCACCGGGACAAAGGCCGGAGTTGGGCCAGATACAAGTCCGGCACACGCGATACTACAGAGCAGGCGGTGGATGGGGAAGAAAAGTCAAAAAGGCCTGAAAATCCTGATGGGATATATTACCACAAAGGCAAATGTGAATTAATGGAACAGGAACACTTCAGAGGGAATTTAAATTCAGGTAAAGAACAGAAGTCGCCATAAATTTTCCCCAAAATGAGCGCTAACTCAATCCTTCGCAACTGTTCCTGGCAAACTAGCAGCCCAAATGCATGACGTGACCGTGCTTTAGCGGTGTCTCTGGCAGAGAGGTGACACGCAGGGGCTCTTTAGACGGGATTTATCCGGACGCAGTGCGTACCAGCCACTCAACTGCGTCTCCATCTATGCAAACCAGCGCTCTGGGAAGGTTTGAAAGCTTATCAGGCTTCAAAATAAAT